TCGCTAGTCACTCGAATAACAAATGATGCCAGGATACTCGGGGCCTCCCCCCCGCCACTGTAAAATAGGTGCTGCTGCCTTAATGGCATTACTCCTCTATGACAGCAGCATAAATAATTACACTCCGTTGTGGATAAATTTGCCTCTCTTCCTTATTTATTTTACTCCTGAATGAGAGCCTTCACTAAGGCAAGAAAGAGCTGATTTATGAACTAGACCCGGTATATCCCCTTGGGCCTCACAAATCCTTTCATGCATTTTTTCTCTAAAGGTATCCCAATGAGAGCACCAGTCTAAGTAAGCTACAGATATTTGAAGAAACTCCTTAGGCAGCTGACTGTAAAACCTCAAATTGTATTTTAAATCGAGTTCCCACTTGTGGCCATGGCATTCAGAGACAAAAGGATCTTTATTTTCTGTTTTGGTTCCCAGTTATGGTTCAAGAAGATTACCATAGCCAAAACCCGTACCACAATGCGGTCCATGCTGCTGATGTCACACAAGCTATGCACTGCTATCTGAGGGAGCCCAAGGTAATGACAACCTTTCGCACTGATGTTGTTTTCAGATAATTCTCAATTTTTTTCCCCAGGACTGGAAAACAACACCAAAAACCATTTTTAGATAGCAGAAAACAATTGTGTACTTGAAGTCAGCAACAAGGCAGTAGCAGAGTCAGCTACAGATTACCGACACTTTAAACAAGCTACTAGAGTCACTTGTCATCACGCAGGTGACGTATCAAAGTGCGGTCGTATGAGTTCCACCAAGTTTTCCCGCGACCGTGCGTACCAGCCACCCGCGAGTGGCCGCAGCCCTCCCAGCAGAGCCAGCAGCAGGCAGCGCGTGCCCGCGCCTCGGTCCCTTCAGGGCATAAGCCCTTCGCATCGATGTTTCAAAATACCAGGTTTGGCAGAGCAACACCAGTAAAAGGGGAAACCGTTCCCTTTGACTGGGTCTGCTGCAAGGGTGTCCTCCGCATGACTGAACGGCAGCTTTTGGCTGCTGCAGCAAGCCCTCACGACGTGCTTTATGTGTTACTGGAAGGCACTGTAATACTGTAATGCGGAGCCACAGTGTAAGAATATAACTAATCTTTCCTGGCTTGATTTAAATGAAGGGAAGTTCTGCTAGAATTAGCAAATTGTTAGACCAGAATACAGTAATGGTAAGCGAGGACAGGAGCAGGACCCAGCTTTCCTGTATTTCCATCTCTTGTAAGATCTGCAAGTCCCTCCTGTGAAAAAGTGCAGAGGACAGCCCATGTCCAGAATCTGTACCATACTGCTCTTCATTTCTCATCACAGGATGCTTCTTTCAGCTCATAGACCTGTACTCTGTACAGACTCGTCGGGCCGGTAATAACTATCGCACGCTCTGAAACAGAAAATGCTAAGACGTGATTTTTTATTCCCCAGTGATAACAAAATTTGCTTCTGAATGATAAGCTGTATAGTAGAAAAAAAATCTGGGCAGGTTTTCAAATTTGGATGTCTGAAGTTAGAAAGGTAAATTATGTTCTCTAATAAAATACTTATATTTGAACTGAGATATCTAACAGCCAAGTTTGTAATTTCAAAAGTTTATAAACTCTGCATTTTACAGCACAGTGCTGTGCTAGAAAAATGAAGCCTAATGTATTGTTTGTATTACTAAATACTGTGTGAGGCAGAGCCCTTATCATGTATGCTGTTGGCATTTATGCCAACCTGCTAGTATACTTACTTAATTTTTAAAACTGAATCTTTTAGTCTAAGCACTTCTATACAACAATCCTTATATTACCATAAATGATAAAGAGATAAGTACAAACTGTAATAAAATATCACTGTATAGTCTGATATCTTTATAGATGTTTGTTCAACAGTCACCTTAAAAACATTGCTCACAAAATTTTTTTTATATTTGACATTTGTGTATTGTCCTGCAAAACTGAGCAATGCCATGATGTTAGCTGATTCCTTTATTTGCCAAAAAAAAAAAGAGTTTACTGTTCACGTTCTTGTTGTGACTAATGCGTGTGATTCAGCTTGCCAACTTCCTCACCCCGTCGGACGTCATGCTCGGACTGCTAGCTGCTGCAGCTCATGATGTGGATCATCCAGGGGTCAACCAGCCCTTTCTAATCAAAACTAAACACCACCTTGCCAGCCTGTACCAGGTAAAAACTGCTCATCAAGTTGGTAATATGTAAAATGGTGTCAAGGAGGGTCTAAGCAATTTGCAGGGAACTTTCATGCTGAAATCTGGGGATGTTGGTCAAATCAACCTGCGCTTTCAAGTCTGGACAATTTCAGCTGAGCTCCTCACTGGGTGTCTCTTCTTCAGCAAAGGTAATGATACACATGAGAAAGAAAGTAGAAATGTCAGATTTTATTGAGGACACTTAAGCCAAATCAGTTGCCTGGGTTATTTCTGCTGTAGATCATCTAGGGTAAGGAACTGCGGGTAGGAGATTTCAAATCACGGAGAGGCAATTTGTACTTCATCTTCCTTCAGTGAGCAAGCAAGCATGTTCTAAATCGGTGTTGTATTAAAAGAAAGTTTTGCTTCTTATGAGTCTAGTAAAATTAAACACTTAATGGATACTGCAATTTAAAAAAAAATTTATAGAGGAGACCGAGGGAAAAGTTGTAGATATTTACCCAAACATGCCTAGAGATATAAAGAAAGAAGTTAAAACAGCCACTGTAGGTCACACCACAGGCTGTCTAGACCAGTATCCTGTTGCTAAGAGCAGCCAGCAAAAGATCTCAGAGAGAAACATAAGCCTGGGATAAGTACAGAGCTGTCCTTCACCTGGAATACATCCTCCCAGCTCTGGCAAGCAGTAGTAGAAGACTTCCTGAGACAAAAACACAGACCCTCTTGTTCAATAACTGTCAATGAACTTACCCTGCCCTGACTTTTGTGGTCCTTTTTGAATATATTTGTAGTTTTGGCCCATGGCAATCACTGTAGCTCTGGACTTTATCTACCACTGTCCCGTGCGTATAATTTTTGCATAAATGTATACATGATTATGTATGCACATGATTTTGGTTGCACTAACCGTAATGCATAGCTAATAAATGGAGATGGTATTGTTTTGTAGCCTTCGGAAGAGACAACTTCAGCCTTTGTAATAAGGTACCAGAAACAGAATATCCCAAGTTAAAAATTAATCAAACTGAAGAAGACTCACTGATAGCTATGTACCTTTCTACATATACTTAGCAAATGGAGCCTTTTCATACCCGTACGTGTGTGGTGCGTTTTGCTCCAGACTTTTCTAAATGTCAGGCCAGCTGAGTGGGGAGGGAGGAAAGCCAGGGGACTAAGCCAGGGGACTTTGGGAAGGTTATGTTAAGGATCCTTTGAAGAGTGGGTAGAGCCATTCCACAAAAAGCCTGACCCTATGACCCTTAAACATCTCCTTCTCAAATTAATAGTGGGAAACAGTAATATATAATTAGGTTGAAAATTCAGGCTAATCTGAAAGAAGTGTAGCTAAAATAAGATCTTACTATCCTGGAGAGATGGTTTCTGCTCAGCTAACTGGGCTTGAATATAATTTCAAATGTTGGTTAGAAAAGGCAGTGACAATACGGCAAATGCAATCTTTCAACAGCAAATGTGATTTTTAAGTATCCTGTTTAGGGATGTTCACTGGCAAGTTTCACTTATATTATTTTACCTGAAATTCAGCCCAGATTGTTTCCGAAGATTTTAGTAGCATACAGTACATGAATGCCAATGAAAATAACAATGCTGGAAAAAAAGTTTTGCTGAAAACATTTTTAGTCAAAAATTTAGATCTGAGATTTAAAACAATAAATTATATACTTCTCAAGATTAGTACTTTAACATGTGCTTGAAACAAACAAAAAACATTCAAGGGTTTTCTGCTTTTAAATAGTAGAGCCACAGAACTCCTGGGACTAATCAGAAAAATAATCAAACAAAAAGTAAGTTTTTAATATAGTTGGCAGTCATCTGTCACTGAGACAGTAGTAACTGAGACTTAGAGTTATCTGTCTATGACATCTCTTTGCTCTTGATTGTAAATTTAAATTAGAACTTTATATTTGAATCATCTGGGAAAAAAGGTTTTGCAAAATGAGGTCGGTCAGTATTTGACTAAGATGCAAAGTGTTTGACAGCTTCTGAAGGGCATATATGAGCAGAATCATGTTTCAGGAAGATAGGTGTCATCAGCAAGGAGCTCAGAGCTTTCGATATTCATTTTCAAATGAAATCCATATTTTATGATGCAAGACTTTTTTTTTTTTGTAATCTATAGGGTAATTTCTACAAGAGTCTATTGCATGTGAGGCACTGTAATTTTCCACAAAAATAAAAGGGCCTCATCCATGTCTCTAGCATTACAAAGACAGTTGAGAGTATGAAAGGTGACAGTAGGGACCCGGAGGTCACTTAGCCTCTTGTGAGGAGCATAACAGTAGTCCTTGTTTTGTGACGCAGATTCAATTCTAACTTTCATTGGCCATTAAAATGAAAAATAAAAGTTTTATTCTTGCTTGATAATCATTGTCTTAGGTCTCTGTAGCCTTAAAAGTCACAAATAACTCAAATTCTGGTTGATACATTTGGCTTATCCAACATTATTTCTGCTTCTTTTGACTGAAAGCAGTATAGAATTCAAGGTTGCTGCCTTGTATTTATCCAAAAACTCCACATCAAAGCTAACACCAGAAAAAGTCATACTGCTTTTTTTTTTTAAAAAAAGAAACTGTATTTTACTGAAAAATATTTATTAATTTCCTAAAAAACCAAATAGCATTAATGTAAATAAAATGTTGTTTTATAACTTCAGTAATAGAGTTGAGATCTATCTTTGGCTTTTAAATGAAGGGTAATAGATTAGAAGTCTGCAGTGATTACACACAACATCTGTAGGACAAAACAGAAACTATGAAAGAACGCTTTACAACTGTAATATAGATACATACAAACAAGAAATAGGAAAACATGTTTTGCAGCCTTCCTTAAAAGCACCATTTCAAGTATGAGTTTCAGGTATTTAACATTGTGTAATTGCTCAATGACTAAGAACGGATGATCAGGTTTAAGGAAATTTAGATTGCCTTCCATTCTGAATTAAAATTGAAGTTTTCTCTGCACACACCTAATAGCAAGTCTTCCTCTTTTCAAGTTATTACTCTTTTCCAAATGCATATGTCAAGTGTGGTGGTTTGAACAGCTCAGGGAAAGCCACGGATTGGAGATTTTGTGATAGTCTAAGTGAAAAACCATTTTTTTTCCTTATAGTCCTCAAGTCTGTGTTACAGCAATCCACTCATTTTAGGCAATACACATGATAGAGGCTTCCTAGCATACAGCCTTTAAAACAAACCCGTACTACTAAGTTCTTTAAAAAAATAAAAACTTTGGGGAAGCAAGCTCTCTGGAGATGAGAGCAGAGCACCCCAGTCTACAAGGCAGCATATAGCCTTTTCCCTGCATAGGTTATCTCCCCACCAGCCTAGGCAATCAGATCGCTCATGGCAATTAGTCTTAATAAGGTGGAATAGCTGACTCTACTAATTGTTGGCAGCAGCTTCAGGGGTTCTGGCTGCTTGCATTTAACAGGGGAGCCATGTGACTTCATGCTCAGTTGTCGCTTGTTAACTTGACCTTTCCTTTTTGCTCTTCCATGTGCTTTAAGTGTGGGAAGCTAGACAGTGCAGCAGCTGTGGTTTAAGTTTGCCCTATAGCAGCAGGCAAAGAGCAGACACTTAGAAGCAGAAATGCTTTGGGGTGGATACCTGAGATGATTGCTTTTTCCTTTGAGTAGCTATTAGTTGGGTGCAAGAAGTTCTTGGATACCTACACACTCAGCCCTGTCCTAGCTGGCCTTCAGCCTGGCCAAAGTGCAACTGCATACACGGAGCGTCATGCCCCAGCTGAGGCAGCTCCTCCCGGCAAGTAGTGCTGCCGTGCTGGAAGGGACGTGGGGGCACAGGGTGCTCTGAGGGGGATCTCCCCAGCTGGGATGCGTCAAGGGTGCATCAGACTGGGGCTACAGGAACTGCGCACAGGCTCTGTCTTAAATGAGCGTAAGCCTTCTCAAAAGCCAAAGGTGACAGGCAGGCAGGGTTTGTCTGGTTTACCTTAGGGTGGGAAGATGGCAGCCTGTGGATTTGGGGTGACTGTTGGGATGAGGATTCAGCTCTGA